CCCTCCTTCTCTACCTCCACCCCCTCCTCTTCTTCCTCCTCCTCCTCCTCGCTGCTCCTCCTTTTTTTACTCTCTGTTTCCTCCTCCTCCTCCTCCTTCTCCTCCTCCTCATCTCTCCCCTCCTTCCCCTTCTTTCTCTCTTCCTATCCACCTATCCCCTCCTTCTAACCCCCTCTTCCCCTTTATCCACCTACTCCTACCTTTCCCCCTACCTCCCTCCTTCTCCTTATTATCCCCCTCTCCTCCACCTCCTTCCATTCATATCCTCCTCTTTCTCCTCTTCCTCTATTCGCATTCTCTCTCATCCTTTCCCTTATCTTATCTCTCTTATCTCTCTTATCCTCTCCTCCTCACTGCCCCCTTCCTATGCCCCTCTCCCTCTCCCCCACTTCCTAAACCCCTCCTATACCTACCGTTCTCCTTCCCCTCCTGTTTCTCTCTTCCTTTCCTCCTACCCTCTTCCTTCTTATCCTTCCTCCTATCCTACCCCCAACTCCCTTTCCCCATCCTCCCCAACTCTTCCCCTCCTTCTCCTCTTCCCTCTCACCCCTCCACTTCAACACCACGTTTACTTTCACCCTCTCCTCCTTTTTATTTTATATTTTGTCTCTTCCCTTCTTCCTATTCCCTTCCTTACCCCTCCTCCTCCTCCTAGCCCGAACCCCTTTTCTCCTTCTCTCCTCCTCCCCTTCCCCCCCTCCCTCCCTCCCTCCACCCCCCCAAACACCACCTTACCTTCACCCTCTCCTTTTTCTCCTATTCCCCTCCTCCTCCTCCTAGCCCAACCCCCTTCTCTCCTCCTCCCCTCCCTCCCCCCCCCCCCTCCCTCTCTCCACCCCTCAAACACCGCCTTACCTTCACCCTCTCCATCGTAGCTCTGAGCCGCTTCCTTCATCCTATTCCCCTCCTTACCCCTCCTCCTCCTCCTACCCCAACCCCCTTTTCCCCTTCTCTCCTCCTTCCCCTCCCCCCTCCCTCTCTCCACCCCCAACAGCACCTTACCTTCACCCTCTCCTCCTTTTTATTTTGCCTCTTCCTCCTACCCCAACCCCCTTTTCCCCTTCTCTCCTCCCCCCCCTCCCTCCCTCGCTCCCTCCCTCCCTCCCTCCCTCTCCCCACCCCCCCCCACAACAACGCCTTACCTTCACCCTCTCCATCGTAGCTCTGAGCCGCTTCTCCAGCTTCGGCAGTTCGCATCGCAGGTCGGCGTTGTCCCGGACCAGCTGTTTGTGCACCTTCGTCAGCTGATCGAGGTTGTTCTCCAGGAAGCTGATCTTCTGCTTCTGAGCCACCGAGCCGCCTAGGATGTCCTCGTCCTCGCCTGCTGCTGACTATTGGGCGGAGGGGGGAGGGGGGAGTGGAAGGGAGTGTGGGGGTGGGGGGGAAGGTAGGGAGGAAGGAAGGAAGGGGGTATGGGGGTGGGAGTGGAAGGGAGTGTGGGGGTTGTGGGAAAGGGAGGGAGGAAGGAAGGGGGTATGGGGGGGAGTGGAAGAGAGTGTGGGGGCAGTGGGGAAGGGAGGAAGGAAGATAAAGAGATAAAGAGTAGATGTGTGTGGTGGAAGAGGGTGGATGAAGGAGAAGGGGGGGGGAGTGGGTAGGGGAAGGGGGAAGAAAGGTGATTAAGGAAGTAAAGCAAGAGTGGTGAGGGGGGGAAGGGGTCGAAAGGGAGGAAGAAAGAAAGAGAAAACAGTTTTGATTAATGTTATGGTTATAATCACTTCTATCTTCGGTGTTGACAATATTACTGCACTCGCCATCACTATCATCATTATCATCACCATCATCCACACTATCACTTGTCACTATCATCCCCATCGAGAGAGAGAGAGAGAGAGAGAGAGAGAGAGAGAGAGAGAGAGAGAGAGAGAGAGAGAGAGAGAGAGAGAGAGAGAGAGAGAGAGAGAGAGAGAGAGAGAGAGAGAGAGAGAGAGAGAGAGAGAGAGAGAGAGAGAGAGAGAGAGAGAGAGAGAGAGAGAGAGAGAGAGAGAGAGAGAGAGAGAGAGAGAGAGAGAGAGAGAGAGAGAGAGAGAGAGAGAGAGAGAGAGAGAGAGAGAGAGAGAGAGAGAGAGAGAGAGAGAGAGAGAGAGAGAGAGAGAGAGAGAGAGAGAGAGAGAGAGAGAGAGAGAGAGAGAGAGAGAGAGAGAGAGAGAGAGAGAGAGAGAGAGAGAGAGAGAGAGAGAGAGAGAGAGAGAGAGAGAGAGAGAGAGAGAGAGAGAGAGAGAGAGAGAGAGAGAGAGAGAGAGAGAGAGAGAGAGAGAGAGAGAGAGAGAGAGAGAGAGAGAGAGAGAGAGAGAGAGAGAGAGAGAGAGAGAGAGAGAGAGAGAGAGAGAGAGAGAGAGAGAGAGAGAGAGAGAGAGAGAGAGAGAGAGAGAGAGAGAGAGAGAGAGAGAGAGAGAGAGAGAGAGAGAGAGAGAGAGAGAGAGAGAGAGAGAGAGAGAGAGAGAGAGAGAGAGAGAGAGAGAGAGAGAGAGAGAGAGAGAGAGAGAGAGAGAGAGAGAGAGAGAGAGAGAGAGAGAGAGAGAGAGAGAGAGAGAGAGAGAGAGAGAGAGAGAGAGAGAGAGAGAGAGAGAGAGAGAGAGAGAGAGAGAGAGAGAGAGAGAGAGAGAGAGAGAGAGAGAGAGAGAGAGAGAGAGAGAGAGAGAGAGAGAGAGAGAGAGAGAGAGAGAGAGAGAGAGAGAGAGAGAGAGAGAGAGAGAGAGAGAGAGAGAGAGAGAGAGAGAGAGAGAGAGAGAGAGAGAGAGAGAGAGAGAGAGAGAGAGAGAGAGAGAGAGAGAGAGAGAGAGAGAGAGAGAGAGAGAGAGAGAGAGAGAGAGAGAGAGAGAGAGAGAGAGAGAGAGAGAGAGAGAGAGAGAGAGAGAGAGAGAGAGAGAGAGAGAGAGAGAGAGAGAGAGAGAGAGAGAGAGAGAGAGAGAGAGAGAGAGAGAGAGAGAGAGAGAGAGAGAGAGAGAGAGAGAGAGAGAGAGAGAGAGAGAGAGAGAGAGAGAGAGAGAGAGAGAGAGAGAGAGAGAGAGAGAGAGAGAGAGAGAGAGAGAGAGAGAGAGAGAGAGAGAGAGAGAGAGAGAGAGAGAGAGAGAGAGAGAGAGAGAGAGAGAGAGAGAGAGAGAGAGAGAGAGAGAGAGAGAGAGAGAGAGAGAGAGAGAGAGAGAGAGAGAGAGAGAGAGAGAGAGAGAGAGAGAGAGAGAGAGAGAGAGAGAGAGAGAGAGAGAGAGAGAGAGAGAGAGAGAGAGAGAGAGAGAGAGAGAGAGAGAGAGAGAGAGAGAGAGAGAGAGAGAGAGAGAGAGAGAGAGAGAGAGAGAGAGAGAGAGAGAGAGAGAGACCCACTATCACTATCATTCCCTTCATTATCAACATCACCATCACATTCCTCTCCATCGCCATCACCAACACCATATCATCCCCAGCAATAATCACCATCATCACAATCATTAACATTAGGCCATCTAAACTCGACATTTTGAGAGTGGACACTTAGGCAGGAAATTCCAACACTCTCTTTCATTAAAACTCATCCTGTTTATCTCTGAAGCATTTAAAGATCTTGGTAAATGATGCTAAAAATAGGAACTTCATTCATTCCCTTCTTTACTTCCTTGTCTATTTCCTCTTTTATTCATCTGTTTACTCATCTCATAATTGACTCATTATTCATCCTCCTCATTACCATACTCATTATCCACCTGTGGGAGAGCTTATCTATCTATTTATCTATCCATCTATCCATCAATCCATCCATCTACTCATACACCTATCCAGTTAATTACTTCCTCATCTTCCTATAACTGGCTTATTCATCCATCTATTCATGTTTCCACCTTTTTATTCATTCTTTAAGTTACGTCTTTACTCATCATGTTCACTTTACTCATGACTCACCCTCTTGACTTTGGCATCCAGGTCCTGGACAAAGTCTTCATTTATCTATCCAATCTATTTATCTATCTATCCACCTATCTATCAATCCATCTATCGATCTATCTACCTATCTATCTATCTACCCATCTTTCTATCTATCTACCCATCAATCTTTCTATCTATCTCTCTCTCTCTCTATCCCTCCACCGTATCACACACATATCTACCTGTCCTGTACTCACCCTCTTGACTTTGGCCTGCAGGTCCTGGACGAAGAGCTTCCTGAGATTGTGCAGCGTCTGGAGTTCCTTCGCCACCGTGTCCTCCAAGCCCTTAAGGTCATGGTGAGCCTGTTCTCGCCTCTCGTTCAGGGCGCTGAGGGAGGCGAGGGAGAGGGAGGGAGAGAAAGAGAGAGAGAGAGGTGACGAGGTGAGTCCAACGCTGGGTGAGTTAAACGGTGGGTGAGTTAGACGCTGGGTGAGTTAAACGCTGGGTGAGTTAGACGATGGGTGAGTTAAACGCTGGGTGAGTTAGACGATGGGTGAGTTAGACGATGGGTGAGTCAGATGATGGGTGAGTTAGACGATGGGTGAGTAAGATAGTGGATGAGGTAAATGGTAAAATTGTGGGTGAGTTTGTAGGAGAGAGGGACGGGTATGAGAGTGAGGGAGAGAAAGAGAGAGAAAGAGATGGAGAGCGAGAGGCTGAGAGACAGGGAGGAGGGTAGAGGGAGAGAGAGAGATGGACAGATAAATAGAGAGATAGAGAGATATATACAAAAAGAATGACAGAATGAGAATGAGAGAGAGAGAGAGAGAGAGAGAGAGAGAGAGAGAGAGAGAGAGAGAGAGAGAGAGAGAGAGAGAGAGAGAGAGAGAGAGAGAGAGATCGCGCGAGAGGGTGGGAGGGAACTATAAATAGATAGACAGAGAGACAGAAAGACAGATAGATGGATAGATAGATAGATAGAGAAAAATGAAGATCGGGGAGCGACATAGACAGACAAACAAAGACATTGAGAAAAAGGTGAAAATACTAGACATTCGGAAATAGACAAACAGACAGGTGAAGAGTGTGCTCAGATAGTTAGGCTCCGTGGCTATGCGATGACGCGAATGTGAAAAATGAATGAGAGAAAAGGAGAGAGAGAGAGAGAGAGAGAGAGAGAAGAGAGAGAGAGAGAGAGAGAGAGAGAGAGAGAGAGAGAGAGAAGAGAGAGAGAGAGAGAGAGAGAGAGAGAGAGAGAGAGAGAGAGGGAGAGAGAGAGAGAGAGAGAGAGAGAGAGAGAGAGAGAGAGAGAGAGAGAGAGAGAGAGAGAGAGAGAGAGAAATAGATATAGATAAATAAAGAGATGGAGGGGGAAGGATAACAGCGTCGGGTAGAAAGAAGAAAAAATAAAAAGACAGGAAGAGAAGAAAACAAATAAAAAGACACAGACAGACAGATAGATAGACAGACAAAATGACAGACAGATAGAGAAAGATGGATGAAGAGGTATCTGTATATCTAAATATGATCTTTACTTTACTCTACTTATTTTGCAAATTGTGTTAATCTTAATAATTCTAGTTAAAGATACCTGCCTTTTGTATTGTTTCTGATAAGTATATTTGTGTTACTGAGTTAAATAATCAAAGACCAAAACTGTATGCATTATATGTTTTAATTCTATTCATGAATGCTAAGCTTAAATGTTTCTAACTTGTTGACAACACACATGAACTGCAGGTTGAACACTTAATCAACAAATTACCTTGAAGTTGTATATAAAATAATATAAGCTTCCTGTCAAGTAGGAACACTTTAATAACCACACACAAAAAACAATCCTATGAATGCTACATCTCTTGTATATCACACTCATTCTTAATTTCACTGTGAAGGTGTATTTACAGTGAGACTACAGTGACAAAGTGTACTAGCGATACAGTGCAGCATCCTTTAAAAAAAAGAGAGGAAAATGCAACAAAATTCTCTTTAGCTTTTAAATGCAAGAATACAAGCAAGTGGTTTACTATCCTCGATCTACATTTCATACGTCAAAGAACTTTACTGAAAAATCCTTCACGATAAATAGTTTTCATGTTTTTTTTTTATATGTCCATTTATTAACTACATTTTTTTTATTAAAGGTTACTGAGTTAAGGATCATAAGGTAATTACTAAATTGGTTGGAACGAAACGGAATATTTTTTTTTTCCAGACTGTAATATATAATCAGAAAAGAAAAGAAAAATATATGATGATATCCTTGTTTACAGAAAAAAAAATCATCAATCATATATGAAATGAGGCAATATGTGCTAATTTCTTTGATAATCAAAGTCGTCTTTATCAATTTTCGCATAAAGATAAAGTCCACACGATCCGTACTTTTCAGTTACCTCTTTAAGGAAAAGTAATAAATAAATAAATAAATAAATAAATAAATTTCATCACATATGCGAGAAACTTTGATATGTACAAATATTCAGACATACTTTCATAATGTATACATACATACATACATATATATATATATATATATATATATATATATATATATATATATATATATATATATATATATATATATATATATGTGTATATATATATATATATATATATATATAAATGTACATATTATCTCTCTTGTATCATATTTACTCAGCTTCTTTAGTTTATATATAGAACAAAACCAAAAGAAAATGGAAAGGAACAATGGAAGACATACCCTTTACTCGAACTAGAGAGATTTTAAGAAAAATATAATACGGTATTATTGAATATACTTCGTCTCATAAGAAGTTTTTTGATGAAAAATATCAGCAGGTCAATTGATAACTATAATAAAAGATCATAATGACGATAATTATAATAGTTATTATATTTTTGATAATAATAATAATATTAGTAATGATGATGATGATGATGATAATAATAATAAGAAGAATAAGAATAAGAATAATGATTAGTAATAATAATAATAACAACAATAATAATAATAATGATAATAATAATAATAATAATAATAATAATAACAACAACATTAATAATAATAATAATAATAATAATAATAATGATAATAATATTAATAGTAGCAATATTGATGATAATAAAGATAATGATAATGTCAATAATAATAACAATATTAATAGTATAAATGATAACAATATTAATGAGGACGGTAATAATAATGATAAATATTCACTAATAAAAAAAAAAAATACAATAAAAAAAAAAAAAATCTATTTCTTTGATAATAATATTGCAATGATGAAAAGTAATAATTATGAATATGAATAATGTTTATAAATACAAAAAGAACGATAACATAATATTGATATCATGACTAATAGGAATCATAATACCAATACTGATAATTAATAATAACAATAACAACAAGTTCAACAGCAAGTACAACAATAACAATAAGGAAATAATAATTGAATAACAATATACATATAAAAAAGACGAAAATACCAATCCTAAAAAAACAACGACAATATCAAATATAAAACAACAATAATAAAAACAACAGAAACAATAACGAAATAACAATAATCCTAATAACAACAACAACAACAACCGGTCCATAAAACAAACAAACAAACAAATAAATAAATAGATAGCCTCAGTATTACCTGCACCAAATCTAAAGCTACCCAAGGACACAGGTCAAAGGTCAAACTGATGATAAAGGCCAACGTAAAGAGAGACGCAGATGTTTCGGTAAAAAAGCAATAAAACGAAAAGGGATTGTATATCAGCCTCCCTCCATGAATGAAAGAAAAGATGAGAAGAGAGAGAAGAAAGGAAAAAAGGAGAGAGAGAGAGAGAGAGAGAGAGAGAGAGAGAGAGAGAGAGAGAGAGAGAGAGAGAGAGAGAGAGAGAGTGAAAGAGAAAGAGAGAGAGAGAGAGAGAGAGAGAGAGAGAGAGAGAGAGAGAGAGAGAGAGAGAGAGAGAGAGAGAGAGAGAGAGAGAGAGAGAGAAAGAAGAAAAATGACAGGGACAATGAGATGAGTATATATATATATATATATATATATATATATATATATATATATATATATATATATATATATGTATATATATATATATATATATATATATATATATATATATATATATATATATATATATATATATATATATATATGTCCATATGCACACATATCCATACAGAATACATAACATAACAAAAAACACAAAAAACATCGAAAAAATATATTCTAATAATACAAAAACACATAGTTTTTTGTTTATAAACTGCTAAAGAAAAAAAATGCATTCTAATCCAATACCACATGTTTCTCAATTTATATTTCTTCTGATCAATCAGGAAATTTTACACGTAAAATAAGGATTTACTTGCCGGTCAAAAAAAAAAAAAGAAAAAAAGAGACATATATAGAGAAAGAGAAAGAGAGAGAGAGAGAGAGAGAGAGAGAGAGAGAGAGAGATAGATAGATAGATAGATAGATAGATAGATAGATAGAGAGAGAGAGAGAGAGAGAGAGAGATAGATAGATAGATAGATAGATAGATAGAGAGAGAGAGAGATTAAAGAAAAAGACGACGAATCTATTAAAAAGAAAAGAAAGAGAAATGATAGAACTTGAAGAAACAGACATAAAAGAGGGAAATAAAAGGGATAACAAAAGAAGAAGCGACAGAAAATGGGAAGAGGGAAAATAAAATGGAAAAGAAAGGGAAAATAGAAAAGAAAAAAAGAAAGCAAAACAAGAAAAAAGAAAAAAGAAAGAAAAATGGAAGCTAAATAGATAATTATAAAGACAAACAAACAAACAAAAAAAGAAAGAAAACGGAAGAAAAGATTAAATGAATAAAAAAATGAAGGAAAGAAAATTTAAACAGAAACGAAAGAAGAACGAGACGGAAAAAAATATAGAAAGAGAAATAGACGCAACACAATCAGGAAAATATAAGAAAAAGAAGAACAAGATGAAGAAGGAGTAAAAAGAAGTGGAAAAAAGAAGAAATAGAAAAGTAAAAAAGAAAGAAAAAAAAGAGACAAAGAAAATGTAGAAAAGAAGAAGAAAAAGAAGACAAACAGCTAAGTAAAAGGAAAGAAGAAGAAGAAGAAGAGGAAAGAAAAAAAAGAAGAGGAAAGAAAAAGAAGAAGAAGAAAGAAAAAGAAGACGAAGAAAGAAAAAGAAGAAGAAAGAAAAAGAAGAAGAGGAAAGAAAAAGAAGAAGAAAACAAAACAGCGAAGCAAGAGGAAAGAAGAGGAAGAAGACGAAATAGCAATTCACACTAACGTCCATTCTGTGCAACATAGCAGTGCAACAGCAGAGGAAGAGAATGCAACACCAGCAACAACTTTGTGCAATGCGGTAAAAGCGCCAAGATCAATTTGCAACTTTTTTTTGTTT